GCCACAACATGCAGAATATAGATGCTCCGGCAGAGTGAGTAGAGCTCAAAAGCTGGTGGCGTAGAAGGTAGTATATCACGTCCAGGTGCAAAGAATGAGTTCGACTGCCTCCTGGTCTACAGCCATTTTCGAAAATGGCTGCTGTTTACGCCATAATTCCCGAAGTGAGATAAGTGGCTAAAAAAGCCAACAAGGTATTTGCGACGGAGTTTATCGCGGGTTTATGAACCGCAGGCATTTCTGTGGCGGGAATGTGGCGGAAAACCTGCGAAAAGCCGGCAAATGTTAAAAGAGTGTGGTTGGGTCTTAAACTCCATTCTCGTCAGGTGGCGGTTCGATTCACTACCGATCCAAATGAAAAAGAGTTCTGTTCACGGCAGTCCGTGTAAATTTGCATAAACTAAATGCCACTGAATTAGGAGCTTCTGCTTCTGCTATTTTTGAAACAATTCAGAACTAGAACTACTTCCCAGAAACGCTTTTTCCCGAAAAATTCTACCTTTTACTTATCTCATTGCACCTTATTAATGACCATTGCAATTCTTAGCAGCTTACCTCATCCCGGCTTTCCTCGGGCGCAAGAGATAATAGGCGTGGTGATGCAAACTTAACTGCCCGCTTGTTGAACTCTGTTGTCCCGTTATCACCACTGACCGCCATTGCCAGTTTCGCTGCGTTTCTTATTAATTTCACCAGTTCCACAATTTTCCCCATTTTATCTTGCTCCTCGTTATGCGCATTATTCAATTTCTTCCGTTTTGGCCCATATTTTCGAAGCAACATCTTTTCTTTCGTCTTAGTGGACTTATGAAAATTAATAGATATTAGCATCCAGGATTACTTAGCCTCATTCAGTAAACACTATTTAATAACATTGATATGAGATGATATATCGATTCGAAACAGCGTGCCTGTAGTCAGTACCTATCACCTGTTAAATGTATATACGCTACTAGAGCAAAAGAAGCTCAAATAGTTATTTATTTTCTTGTGAGCATTACTCACTAATGCGCAACGTGCACCAGATGTTGAAAAGGTGAAAAACATGCCCTCCATTGGATTTTGCTTTCTTACGTAATCTCAGTGACAGTCAGTAATATCGATGTGAAAAATCACTGACGACGTGCACTGAGCGGCCCCGTGCAATCATGCGTTTTTGCAGCATTTCATGGTGTAATAAGATTATTTGGAGTGCAGTGGCTAGAATTTGTGGTATATTGGTCCTCGAAGTTCAGGAAGTCAGTTGTGCAATTGTGTTGCGCTTGATTAGGGGAATACCCTTGAAATTTCAAATTTCTAGCTCTTCTGGCTCCCGAGTAGCGATTTTCGCGCCGAAAATTTTCACCGGGCCGTACCTGGGAACCTAGCACTCTTGAGGGCTGAATTTGGGACCTTTGAGTTTTGTGTTAATGGGGAACATAGCCTCAAAAATTCCAGCTTTCTAGCTTCTCTGGTTCCCGAGTTGGCAATTTCTC